ATCTCAGGCAAATCAAAATATTATTTTACTAAATTGAGTTTTTAGGCTAATTTATACTAAACTAATATACATTGTCATTACAACTACTGTGTATATGTGTTTCTGTGTGTGTAAGAATATCCACTGATACGATGTTATATCGTCATATAATGTTTTTCTCCCTTAAATTTGCATCAGTGCCAAAACTCCAGAATTGGTCGGGCTCTGAAATAAAAAAAACATAAATAAAAAGAGAAGTGAACGGAAAGTCAAACGACATGAAGAACAGAGAAGCAGCTACGAGGCCAAAGATCCTTTGACCCGGGACCGTGTTCACTGTCCACAGGACTTTTCATTAGTAACTGTGAATCCATAGCAGAGATGAGGAGGCTGAGATCTGGAGAGATGAAGAGGGGCCCGGACCCGGAGAGAACGAGGACCAACGTGAGAGAGGCAGGGGGGCGGAGGAGGGGGGGGGGTTAGCTCCGAAAAAAAAAAAAAAAAAAAGCGGAAAACAAAAGTGGTGACGGAAGCGAAAAGGGAAAGTGAGAGAAGTGATGGAAACGTGACGATGGATATATTCAGCACAGAACTGGTTTGAATAAGAAAGGAGAAAGGTGACAACACTTTACCTGCTGGAGAATGAAGGTTTTCATAGTGGCAAAGATGAGGGCAACATTACAAAAGCAGCACAGAGACACGACAGTAACCCAGCCTGGCTCTCACACCTCAACCTCATCGTATAACCACACATATATATATATTCATCTACCGATCATTCATCTATCACCCTCTTCTCTTTGTTTTCATATGATCTCAGTGAATCAGACGATCTTTTAAAGTACACGTCTAAAACTACTGTTTGTATTATTGTTGTGTATCATTACTGCTTTTCACAGTTTATCTCTTCGTCACTGACGTGTCGTGGAGATGAGGTTTCTGGCACTAGCTTCTAGTTTCAGGAGAAATAAAAAAAAAAATAAAAAAAAGATTTATTATCCAATTATCCTCTCACGGCTGCTGATCTTCTATATTTTCATTTCTATTGAAAGTCCCATATTTTCCAAGTGTCTGTGTTTTATTCGAAGAAACATCTGAATAGTTTACGTCTCCTCTCTCTCTCTCTCTCTTCTGTCTGGAGCACCTTCAACACATCCCAGGCAAATAATCTCAATAATAATAATAATAATAAGTTACGTCTCATCGGCCGATGAAGTTCAGTTTTATATTTTGAAAGATTTGCCGGTTGAATCAGTCAGACAGAAGAACGTGTCGGGGATTAATACAGAAAACTACAGAGCTCTGAGGCTCAGATGAGAAATAATCAACTTTTTCCATGGGATCTTTCAAGAGAATGAAAAATACAGAATATTAACAAACAAGTCATTTAATGTTGAGCTTTCTCTTTTAGTCATCATGGTATTTTCTATTAGAAGACACAGAAATCTACATGAGATTAAATCCTGTTTCACAGTTTATACTATTTAAAGCCTTCCTAGTTTTTCCTCATCATTCTACATGAAGTCAGTATTTACTTCCATCACTAGAACTGTTGAATTTCTATTCGTTCAGTAAATTTAATATTTTAAAACTGTAGTCAGGCTGTTGTGTCCTCACACTTGTCTCCACGCTGTAGAGACGTGTGTCTGTCCCTCTTTTAACGCCTCCGTGAACTGTCGCTGGCGCTAAACTAAAGAAAACCACATCCTGTAAAGAATTCATCCATCACTTTAACACCCGCAGACGTCGGTGTCTCAGCGTCCCCTCCACGAGAACGAGCATCCAATTTATTTAACCCTTCCATACGTTCGCCATGAAGCTGAGTTACTGCCGTGCCGAGTACAGGCCTAGAATCAATAGATGGTGTAATTACCAAATTCCTCCAGGACAAAGACTCCCTTCACTGTATTGCACTTTTTAATGTGACTCAGCTCTATGAAAACCTAAAAACAAACGAAAACACAAACAAAAACAAGACAGAACATTATTAACTCAACAACACTGGATGAGAAGTAAAACACTTTATATTTAAGAAATGAACCGTGTTGAGACTTTGTTTTCTTCAGGATGAAAGGTCAAAATAAAACGACTACACACGGATGCAAGCTTTTAACGGCTAATGAAAGAAAAGAAAATCACACTATGAGAAGTTTCCATGATCGAACGCATACATGGGCGACGGTTAAATGAGGAGAAATGCACTTAGTCTGCTCAAAGCTCAGGGCTAATGAAGTGTTTCACAACTTTAAAGATTACACTAATATGTTTAAACTGCAAAGGTATATTTAAAAAAAAAAAAAACACATGATGCAATATGGCCCATATGATGCATACATGGAATTTCCATATAACAATGTAGACAAAGGACACAAACTTAGATTTGCCAAACAGCTACGACAGTCAAAGGAAATGACAGAGAAAAGAAAAAAGGAATCCAATAAGATGTAACTGCTAAATAAGCAAACACAGCAGAGGTTGTGTACCTTCCGCTCCTTGCAGGGGGAGAGAGCATGGGAGAGAAATGGTTTGGATTATTATCGGACAGAAGAGCACAAACACTCGACGACACTCCGAGAGGGCGCTATCCGCAGGAGCCTCGTACGGATTCAGGAGATTCAAGAGATCTCGCTAAGAGGTTATACCAGAGCCAATATGAGAAAAATACAAAATGAAAAAAGGTCACAAGACGAATCAGCCCCGTAAGCTAGAAAATGGAAGGAAAAAAAAAAAAGAAAAATTAAAAAAGGGGACTAGGGGGTTTGACTAGCGGAGATTCACCTTCGTTTTCCTGGACTTTAAACATCTCAGTCCCCCAGAGCCCTCCATGCCTCCTCCTCCAGCAACAAGGGCTGGCACCAACACCACTTGCTCACACAGCAGCACAGGTAAACTGAGGGCGGTCGCTGACGGAGAGTAAACGCCGCTACGCGTGTCGGGACGTCACCTCTGACGCACGACCGGGATCAGGGGTCGTTCGCTATCACGGGGAATTTAGCTGCTGAGGGTTTTCTCTTAACGAGGATGCTGCTGCTGCAGAAATACAAAACTGAGCCTCTTCAGGAAATGCTGTTTTAAAAAAACAACTCAACCCCGAGAAACGTGAAGCACAAAACTAAAGTAGAAGCAGGAAGAAGAAGAAGCAGGGATCATAACAGGGACTCAGTTAAAGGGTCAGTTCACCCAAATTATAAAACATTATTATAAATCTGTATCTGACCAAGAAGCTTCGGGTTTTATCTTCCCCTTGTTTTTATCATATTCACTCTTCATTCAGCTTTTTATCTCTCAACCAACTCCTGAGTGGAATATCTGTCGCCACTACGCTCACCAGCTAGTCTCTGTGTTTACCTTCCTGCTGTTCGATGTCACGCAGGTCGAGTTCTCTGGGTTTTTAGATCCTGCACCGTGAGACAAGCTTCGACCAACAACAAACACCGTGAGAGCGGCCAGAGTGTGAACTTAAAGTCAAGTCGGGAGCTGGAGATTAAAATAACGAGCTGAAACGATGTCCTCTGCTGAGAAAAGGTTAACACTCAACACCGGGAAAAATCCACCTTTAAATTAAACAAACCCCTGAGATAGCGTTCGATGAGGTCACAGCTCTCTGATTGGTTGATTGCGTGTTATGGTGATTATGAGACCAGTGGGAGGAAGTAGACATGTCGAGGTCTTTGTATACAGACTGTTCTCCTGATGCAGACACAGTAGATGTGTACGCACCCCGTACGCACTTCACACTGAAAGTACTTCCATAGTTTAAAAAACAAGCCGACCATCTCAACACCAGGACAAATTTAACCAAACCTGCGTCGACAGAAACCACGAGCGAACGTCCGCTTCTTTGCTTTGAGTGAACTGACCCTGAAATGACTTTTTTTAATAATTGAGAAATCAGTGTAAAGATGCAGGTTCCAACTATCTGACTCTTCCTGTGACGCCTCACTCTGTTGTGTTTAAGATGCCGAACACTTGTGAAGTGTGCAAACAGCACGAGAGGTCGACACTATTCCCCCGCGGCACATTGTACAATCACAGCTTCACACACCAGAGAGAGTGACGTTCTGTAACTACCTGCACAGACGTGAAGACAACACATGACGATGTTCAAGGGTCCGAACTTAAACGTGGAAGTTGCAATTAAATAGCCAATTATTAATGAAAAGTCTTTGCTGGAGATCATCCGTCGTTCCACTGACGCACAACACACACACACACATTAACACTTCATCTCCTCCCACACAGTAAATGAACATGAGGTTTGAGCACCACAGATGTCGAAAAGAAAACTCGTGTGGAGGGATGTGTTAATTATTGTTCGGGGGGGGGNCACAAAGACACGCACACAAACAAACAAACACAATCTGAAACTTAAAAAAGCTAATTCATAAAAGCAAAAAAGCACAAACAGAAATTCTTCCTCTAAAGGAAAAAAACATCAGATCTGAGGAAACGCCAATTAAACATGGTGCGATCAGTCATCTCTGCTGTTTTGAACCAGATTTATATTTATTTATTTTTTAATGACAATAGAGGAAGATTTGACGAGATGACAGGAAATGATACAAACACGTGAGACGAGCAGAAGGACGGGATGAACTCTGAACCATCATGAGTGATTTCTTTTATTTTCATGCCCTCGTGTGAGATGAAAAGCAGTTTTTGCTCTGCGGTGGTTCAGCCCTCTTACCTGGCTGTGCATGAATTTAAGGTTGATTCCCTCCAGTGTGACCTGCAGGAGTCCACCTTCACCCGTTTTCATGTCCTGGACAGGAAACTCTCCGCCCAGCTCCGGCCCTGGAGGAAAAAACCACAGCTGAGTTCAGAGCTACTGTGGACAACTCCGACAAAATCCCACGCCGCCGGGCGGCAGGAATCCTTCAGCTTATTCTGGTTCTGGATTTTGAACATTGAGATCGAATGTGAAGCTGATGAGAATTCAAAACACAGTGAATACAAGACTTAAAGGTTCAGTGTGTTAGCGACATCTAGAGGTGAAGTTGAGTGTTGCAGCTGGATGGATTATTTTAAATTCAACTTCTGCCAAAAAATCCTTTTCATTTAAATCTTACAGACTGAACCTTTAAAGAAACTACTGCGGAGGTTAACCTGCTAAAACAAAACTCTGGAGAACTCAACCAATCAGACATCTTCGGCACCACAAGCCCCGCCCCTCTAAAGGTACTTTTGTAAAGTTTTATTTTGATATAAACTGAAACAGAAGGTTTGAAGGAATTCACTGAGCTGTCATGGAGCTTGGATTTCCCTCGAACTGTCTGTTAAATTTGGTTCAGGTCATGTTTTCTTTTTCCGCTGCAGCTCATCCAGAGAAAACGTCTGTGAGAAGAGTCAAAGACAGAAAGTCTCTCCGTACCTGGTTTAATGCTTTGCTGTCTGGCTGCAGCTCTTTCCATACTGTCTTTAACACAGTAGTAGAGTTCACGACACTGGGATCAAAAGAGCAAAGTTATTAGAGTTGAGTCAGCGACGTTCTCCTCCAGTGGACAGAAGTACAGGGAGCGGTTCCGGACCTTTTTGGTATAGAACTTGTTGAGCTGCGTCTCTTGGCCGTTGCGTCTCCACAGGCACAGCACCTTGGTCTTGGGGCAGTACGTCATGTTGATGAGTTTCTCGTACCACCAGCGCTCGTACACCGTGCCGATGTTGCTGCGCAGGACGATACAGTCGTCACAGACCTGAAACAATCACCGGTCGAGAGTCAGATAAGTTCATTCGTCCACAGAACTGTCGACTTGTGAGTTATTTCGAAGTTCATTTTTCTCTACCTCCATGAAAAAGATGTCTCCTGTGGTATCAGTGCCGGCATGAACAACAAACGTTTGCTTCTTGATGTGACGGCTTCCGCTGGGCCTGATGGACAACTCGCGGCCGTTCTGAAAATAGAACACAGTCCCGTTATGAATTCCCCAGCGTGATTAGCAGCTGACTGGCGACGATTGATGGAAGGTTTCCTGGAAATAACCACGAAATTTGGTTCAATCGGGGAAAACAAAGACAAAGTTGTTATAAAGTTATGAAAGTTGATTTTATAATTTGAGTTTAGAGTCGATTATCAGAGACGTGTCCACAAAAGAAAAAGGTCCATTTAATTTAAACCGCGGACAGATATTCACCATGTTTGCCAGTTTGTCCAGCAGCTCATTGATCTCTTGGCTGTACGTGAGGCCGATGTGGGACTTTCCCATCAGACGTCTCACTTTCTTCCTGATGTCGTTTTTGTTCAACTAAACAAATATTAAAGGAAAAAAAAAAAAACAGGAGTCAGAAAAGAGTCAAACAGGAAATTAAACGAGTGATTTAACTGTTTCGTAATATGAAAAACAAACAGGGCTCCGCACTTTCAGCATGAGCATGTAAGCTATCATGTTGTGCAGCAGAGTAGCCAGAAGTCTGTCTTCGTCGTCCTCCAGGCGCTTTCGGTCATGATCTCCCAGCGACAGGTATCTGTGGTGACGCCACAACACACAGGAGCAAGAATGAGGAGCTGAAGGGAGGAGCAGGGATTAAAGTCTCAAAGGAAACAGAAAGAAAACGTCAGCCGTGTTGAACCTTTCGATCATCTCCTGAGGCCCCTGGTCCATCCCCATGCCCTCACGCTCCAACATCACGGCGTCTAAGAAGGCGTCCTCCCAGAACTGCAGCTGGTCCCACAGCGTGGAGCGCTCTTTACCTGAACACACGAGCACAGAGCACGTTCAGCTCATCGCAGCTCATCGCAGCTAATCCACTCAAACAACCTAAACCACAAAGTGCAGCCACAAGAGAATCTGTTGTCACAACAGCCAATAAATATTTTTCTGTCTCAACCGATTTGACTTAATTAAATCCACTTTAAAAATCTGCAACACAAAATATTTATCCAACTGTATAAGACTATTTTTTTTATGTTGCTTTCCACAGTTTTGTTGTAAGTTACTAAAAGTTTTTTTTTGACGCTCCAACATTTGACTTCAAAACTAAATTTCAGATTAGTCTGATTTCAAACATGCAAGAAAAATCCACATTATAATCGATTAGATTAGACCTGTTACAGTTCCACATCACGATGCTTATTAAGGGGATTTGTGATGAAGCTCGTAACAGATCTTATAAAACTTTAGCTCGACTTAACCTTTACCCTTCGGCGGCATTTACAGCAGGTATCTGATGCTGCCTTTAAGTGCTGCTCAGTCAATAACAACTGAGGAGATAATATTTAGTTTTATTTTGTTAGCAGCTCTTGTAACTTAGAACTAGTCTGTAAAATATGCAAAATTATTAAAACCTTAAAACAAAGGTCGTGTCAACGGTAAAGCTCAAAACTGTTTTCACAGAAGGTTAAAAAATACGTTGAATGAAAAAACTTTTAGCTCAAGTCGGTCAGACGACGGTGAGCAGGAGTGAAACTGGAGTGAACGGGGAAATTCCCACATCTTGAAACTGTGACCAGATTCTGCAGCTGAGCTCATGTTTCCACTTCGATCACAGACGTGCAGCTTCACAACGACACAGGAAATACCCCACATCACAGCAAAGGTTACACACAGAGTCCGGCCGATCAGCGGACACACACACACACACATACACACAAACACACACACAGGAAAAAAAGGGCAAAGGCAAAAGATTAGCCCTACTTAGAGAAAAGGTTTCCATGGCAGCATCCTCTAGTTGATCCCAAACGGAGCTCTTATCACGGCCTGGAAATATTTCCCAGGAGGAGCAGCAGGAGGGAAGAGAAGCAGCGAGAGCAGGAGGGGAGTTAGGCGAGGAGGTGAGTCAGTTTTAACAAGAGCAGAGCGAGCGGAGAACCACGGCAGAGGAACAAGAACGAGGACAGACCACGTTTAATTACTCTCTGATCTACAGACCTTGACCTCAATTCAAAAAGCAATGATTTTTCAAGTGTTTATTAATTAATTTAATCAATCATTATTCCTTTTGTTCCGTAAATCTATTTTCACGCTTTACCAACATGTTATTTAATTAATTCATCATTTTTAAATTCATCAAACCTCTGACGACTCCCCTCAGACATCAGGGAACACAACTTCCTTCTCCTGATTCTCGACTTTATAAAACTGGACAGTTACATCCGGCTACAACCTCACAGCTCGTTAATGTCACAACACTTCTCAGTCATCACACGTCTTCCTCTTTTCCTCTAAAATCAAGTTCACTGTGGTCAAATTATTTGGAAAACCAACGAAAACAATCCTCTTCACCTTCGTGGAAAGAATATTTTAATATTGTTAGAAAAGAGAGAAGAATAAATCTGATCCCTGTGAGGGGATAAGTAAACGGAGTGATGAAGATTAAATCACACACAAAGGAAGCATCTTTTTTTTAAAGGTTAGCTCTTTGACTGACACAAGTGTGAGAGGACGTCTCTGAAGCAGAACTTACCCAGCAGGCCTTCACAGAGGTAGATCCTCATACTCAAGTCCTCCATGGGCTGAGCAGGCGGCCCCTTCGCCAGAGCAGGTACGGGATCTTTGGCGCCCGGTTTCAGAGTGTGAGTCCTCCCCTGAAAAAAACAACGCAAGCTCGTTTTAGTGAAAAAAAAAGGACACAAGACTCCGAAACTGGGAAAGCAAGATACCAGGTGAGCTCGACCCAACACAGTTTATATTTCTTAAAAGAAAAACCCCAGACACAAAATGTTTTCTCTCATTTTCAGTTTTTTCTAGTTGGCACAGAAACCCTCGAAGGATTCATCTCCAGGCTCCGTCTGTGACTTCATCTTAAGCTCATAATTGAATTAACAGCCAAATTCGATTTATTATCTCAACTAAGGAGTGTATAACCTGCATATTCAGCTTATCACGAGTCTTCCACTTACAAACACTGAGCTGGTGGCTGGATTGGTTTCTATCTCACTGTCGGAGAGCGTCCCCCTGGACTGATTCAGGTGAGGAGCCACCCTCCCCCCGAGGCCGTCTCCTGCCGTGCTGCTCAGGTCACTGTCGGCTCCCAGAGTCTCCCCGGAGCTGTTGCTTATCTAAAAAAAATAAATAAAAACAAGTTGTAAGAACGAAACACAAGTGCAGAGGATTTTGTAGAAAAGGAGCTTCAGGGATTCATATTGACACCTAATCACTCTGCGTGGAATAATATGGTTTCAGACTAACAGTGTTCTGTCTTTGAGCCTGAGTTTCCAGCTCTTCCTCGAAATTCATCTTTTATAGAATATTAATTTAAGATTGTGTGTTCAAAGGTTGAAATATTCCATCGTGTTGTGCATCATTTCTGCTCAGTTCCTTTCGTAAACACCAACTCGTAAGTTTCATGCTGCTAACGATGCTAAACGTGCCAACGTGTTTTTATAATTACAGATTTTCAAGAGGAAAGACAAGAAGGTCGACCACAAACATCCTGAAAGCTACAGATATATATTAGTATTGTGACATTCATGTGTGTCTAGAAGAGACAGGGACAGAGTATCTGAGTTTTACAGATATATATATTAGCATTGTGACATTCATGTGTATCTAGAAGAGACAGGGACAGAGTATCTGAGTTGGCCGTGCCCTACCACTGTGCTGGCCTCTGAGTCCTGGCTGGTTGTTCTCGTCAGGATCGGAGGCTCTGAGCTCGTCACCGACTCAGTGTCGCTCTTCTGTAATTAAATAAATAAACAGAACAGAAGAAAACGATTTGATAGTTTGTCATTATCACCATTAAAGAGAAACAAGCGTTGAATCATTTGCAGCTTTTCTTTTTTTTTTTTTTCCATTTGCTAACCTGAGATCCAGATGTGACACTGAGGCCACTGTCAGCACTGATCTGTGATTTCTTCTCCTCTGCATCGGTCACCTGGGGGCGCTGCTGCTGCTTTGCTCCTTCAGACCCTGCGGGGCACACACGATTATCAGCACATTGACGTGAACGGAACGTACATGACCTTTCTTACCTCGCGGAGCCGCCTCAACTCAAAGCCACCACAGAACAGCAACAACTACAGCAACACGACGCTACGACCATCTAAAAGTGCCAAAGCCTCCATCTCAACACTGCATCACACCGGAGACACAGCGAAGCAAACAGAGTAACACTGCCTCATGTAATGAAATGATATTTAACTTCCTCCAGGTAAAAATACAGTTATACACTTTATCATTTGAACATTTTCTGTATCCAGTGGTGGAGATTAACTGAGTTAAACAACAGATCTGTGTTTTTTAATCTATTTTTTTAAAAGAACAGACAGAGAAGTGACAAAGGGGCAAGCAGAGAGTGCGGTAAAATTGGGAAAAAGTTACAAATAAAATAAAAAAAGTAAAAAAAACTGCAAAGAGCGTGACATTAATTCTCAGTCGATGCTGCAGATGTGGCCCAAGTTTCACCAAAACCAACAGACGCAGGCAGTTAGGCATGCAGACAAAGTGATGGACGGTAAAGGAGACATTTTCTGTTTCAAGTGTGATTTGTACTTTTCTTATTTATCACCTGTGCGGCTGACACGTCGATCCTGACTTGAATTTTAAAAAGACATTTAATAAAATGTCGGCTGTAATATACGTAATTCACCGAAAGCCACTTGAAACTGGAAAAAACATTCAGTTAAAAGATCGAGACAGGGCGGCAACGTTTTTCATTTCTGTTCATCGCGACGCAGCGTGTCAGGGGAAGGAAAGAAAACACACTGGAAAATAAAATTACACTTGGCTCAAGCTGAAAAAGTGACGAAAAATAGTAAATACTTGATTTTAAACGCTGTTAAAATTATATAAAGTTCTTAAATGCAGGCAGTAAACATCTTCTACAGTAAATTCTGATTCCATCCTTGAGCTACAGCGACAAAGTCGGCAAAGCGACATATTAAAGTCATGGCTGCTGAAGGAAACGGAGGAAACAAACCAAGACATCGTCAACTTTAGTCTCGATTAAACACAACATGAAATATTTTTTCAGATTGTGTTCCACAATTTCTCACAACACTTCATCTGTGGGAGAAATTCTTTAACGCTAGCTGTCAATACTGCAAGTTCAGTAAAAACGACTTAATATGATAAATCAAGTATCATGATCACTTTATACAAAACTAAAACAAATATATTCTTATTCTAAGATCAACATCTCCTCGTTTTTATTATCAGGAGCATTATTAGATTCATCTGTAAAGACACGGGTGAGGCAGGTGAGAGAAGGGGGGTGGGAAAAGGTCAACAGCCGAGCACCCCATCTTTATTATTTTCTTTATTTTTTTTCTGGTGTGTGAAAAGTGTCTTACTCTGTGGTTTTTCCAAAGCTTTTTGCTTATCCTGGTGCTTGCTCCACAATTCTACCCAAGATGCATTGCAAGCAAGGAGAGAAAGACAGAGAGAGAGTCAGAGAGCGGATTGAAAAGGCATGTATGGTGGATGAGCATTCAAATCAAAACAAACGACAAAATAAAGCAGTTAGAATCTGTCATCGCTAAACACAGGCATGTTGTAATGTTTGCATGTAGCCGCGACTGAATCTGGACGAGATGAAACGTTTCGCATCTTGTCGCGCGGGTCCGCCGTGCGTCAACAGCTACTACGGTAACATTACAACACCCAGAGCTCCTGTTCCAGAGTCCTGGAGAGCCACACAGTGAAGTCAGACTGAGCTTCGGCTCCGACCGCAGGACACTGGCGTCACTGACTGCATGTGTGCGGCTCTCCAGAGTAAAGGTTAGAGAGAAAGAAAGAGAGAGACAGAGAGAGAGAGAGACAGAGAGAGAGAGAGACAGAGAGAGCTGGATGATCCGGGGGAAAAAAGAGCGTGGGATGGGGTTGAGAGGCCGACTAGCCAGCAGGTGAAATGGAGCAGTTGCAGAAGCCGGGATGCAAGTCTCAAAGCATTCTGTAGAATTGAAGGTGCAACTTTTCTAAAACAGGAAGAGAAGGGGTTGCGGGTGGGAGAGGAGTCAGGGTGGTTGACTGAAGAGTGTCCCCCGTATACAGACCCAGGAGAATTCTCAAAGAATTAAAGATTTTCTCAATCAATTGGTTCTTTGGCGACCAAGAGAAGAAGCTTTCTGCTGTGAAATTTGTCTCTTTTACTGGGACTGTTTACTGGGGAGCGATGCTTCCACCCTCCATGCTGAGAGCAGAGGAGCTGCCGGTTTTTTTTTTTTTTCCACAGCACGCCTCGCAGAAACCTGCAGTAACAGGCACAAGACCGGCACCGAGTTTGACTTATCGATGCACGTACCTCCGGTTTCCCTCGCCCACTACTGCAGATTTAGGTATTGGAAGACCAAAACAAAGACATGCATTCAAGGTGCTAAGAGGCTGACAACAGAAGTCCAGAGGGGAGGCAAACAGGGGCACGGATGTTTCAGGGAGGGGGGAGACAAACACACGCAGTCCAGGCTGAAGGACAGGGAAATATTCCAGACACTTTTTAAATGTCGCATCGCGTCTACGATGGAGAATATAATTCTGGAAACTCCCAGAATTTAGATTTTGCTTTTTAGGTTTGAAAATTATCACTGGACACAGAATGAGAGGATTGTCAATGTCGTGCTGCTTCTCCAGAGTTTGAGGTCAAAGTGTGTGGAATATTTGAACACCTGTAAGAATCTATCTGAAGGGATCTTTCTTTGAGACGGTGAGCTTGAAGAGGGGGGGGGGGGGGAGGGGACTCTCACAGTGCACATGCAACCGGGGCTGTGGTGTACACACCAATCGAGGCAATAAAGTTCTCCTCGTTCAGACTCCGGGTATCAAAATGGCGGGCTCCTTTGCCCGTCGCGTGGTGCGGCAGCTGCAGGTGGGGAACATTCAGGAGGCCCTGAGGTCTGGCAGTCTCCATACGACCAGTGGGACTCTCTTTACTCCCCGGGCTGCCAGCACTGTCTGTGGGGCTTCGTTTGCGTTTTTCTGGGTCTACACCAAGTTACCAGGATTGAGGGTCCAGAGACAGAGTTCATCAAGATTACAGACAAGCAGAGAAGTGAGGGTTTGAACTGGGAGAGGGTTAACAGTTGTACACAAAGAAAAACTAAATATTCACTTTACGGTTAATGTGTTAAGAGTAGAAATCTTGCATGCAGCTTAAAGCTTAATATTAACACAATGCAAAGACATGGACAAGTGTTAGTAGACCAGGGCCACTTGCTACTACGGTTCCCAACACTTTCAATGAATTCATTAAATGTGCTAAACGTACCTTTGGTTTGATAATGCGTGCGTGCTATTTCCAATAAGCTGAAGACACTGGCCATTCCTCCAAGGCCTGCGTTTGTGTAAGAGTGCTCCAGACTGGACACTGTGCACTTCAAGATGTCCAGCATGCCTTTGTAAACCTTCCTGCTCACCTCCTGGAGGCAAGAGACAAGAGGACAACGGTTTCTAATGAGTTCAACAGGACGTGTGACAAATACAAGAGCCCCCTGGTGTGACGATAGACGATCTGCACAGATTACAATGTCCTCTGAGGAAGGTTCATTGCAAGTTGTGGGGGAAAAAAAGTGGGGGAAAAAAACAAAAGAGTTGCAAAAACGAGCGCCTCACCACGTCTCGTATGATCTCCTGTCTGGCGTCTTCCTCCGACTGGACGGCTCTGTTCAGCTTGCTCAGCACGAAGACGCGAAGCTGCTCGTTCTCCAACAGACGCCGGACTTTTTTCATGTTGAGCCAGCCGACCCCCTGACCATCTAGAACACTCTGCACCACCTCCTTCAAGAACTGTTGGTTCTCGCTGGGGAAATAATAACAACACTTTCCGTTTAACTCAGCAGAGGAACTGGGAGTGGGCGTGTCGATGACTATTCTAACACGCAGCAGGTGAGAAACACATTTTGTGGGGTCGGTGTCTGAAAATGGCGTTGAACATTTGAAAGAAGTCAGTACCTCGTGTTGTTGATTCGACCTTGAGGAGAGGGAGATTCTCTCTTCACTGTGGGACTGTGCTTGATCACTGAAGACTTCTGGTCAACCAGTGCTCGCGGTGCACGTGCGCCTGGAGGAAGAACCACACACATCAGGAACTAGAAACCAGGAGGAGGAACGACTCTCAAGCTACGTTTTTAAATTTTTATTTAATCAAAGCTACCACATCAAATACAAAAGACAGCAGAGGACATCACTGTGTGAGGAGGACACACACCTGGAATCTACTGAAGGTTATCTACTGCTGATCAGACAAATGACTGGAGCTGCTAGAGTCTATTATTACAACAAGGGAGGTGAAGGGCAAATCAAACAAGGATGGTTCACACACACACACACACACAAACACACACGCAGGAGTCTAAATGGTGTCTCGGTGGTGGCATCACACATTAGCAGCGTGGAGATGTGAGGTCAGACAGAGGACAGTCTGAACAGGAACTACATCAGTGTCGTCATGCATGAAGGAAATAAAGAGATGAGTGGGTGATAAAGAAGATGAGCCACAATTCAAGGTCACGAGCTCGTTACGACACACGGCTGAACTGATGCTGCTCAGCATCTGCAAGTGAACCTCTTGCCGGGGGTCGGGTCAATCATTTAATCATTATGTTATAATTCTCTACAACAGGGAGGTGACTGTCTGTCAGCAGGGTTACTTTGAAGACTGCAAAACCCGTTTCCAGGAAATTCATTCAATTCACATTAAACTTTAGAGCAGATCTGACAAATGATTTTTTTTTTTAATATGAGGAGATTCGTTCTCCTCATACACGGGTAGATCAATTTAATTTGTGATAGTAAATGAAAATGTTTCTGCTCTAATGTTCAGAAAACATCTCTTTCCTCAAACTGTCAGCCTCCGTCTGAAACACCTTGTTTTCGCTCCTCGGCTCCCTCCTGGTAAAAGCTGCTCTGATTGGCCAGCGGACCGAGTCTGTTGTATATGCAACTTCATCACAATACACTTTTTGCAACCAGAGATCTTTTTAGATCTTTAGAGAATCAAGCCTCAACAATTCTATGAACGTAATTTTACTTTCAATACAACAATCTCTAAACACTTGAAATGAAATACTTTGTCATCAAGATGCAGGTGATCCAAGTAGAGTGAGCCACAGCACAACTGACCACACTGTGATAAGAGATTTCTTCCTAAGCTGTCTAACATTTGAACATTGCATGTGCTATTTTTATACATATGCTAATTATGATTTTGATGGTACACACATTGTTAGATTCTCCTCTGGACAAAGGATTACGTTGTTACTGGCTATCAGCAGCTCTGAGGAGCACACTGGCACTTCGGATCATTATGTGGTAAACTTGATGTGCAGGAAAACATTTACACTGAAAGACGAACCCAATCGAAAGCTGCATGCAGACACAAAGGGAGAAGGAGAGAGACCCTTCAAACGGTTTCAATGAAAGCTGCAGGGGGTCAGTATTCGATCCTTGCTGGCCGCTACATTGATTTTATAATTGGATCGTCCCGGTTTATGCGTCGCACGATAATGGAAGCACTGCCTGATGAACAGTGGGCAGGTAAATGTTTTCATGTCTGTGCGTCAAAAATCCATTTCACAAAACAGAGATCCAGGTTATTCTCTACACAACTTGTAAAATCTTCTGTTGTGTGTTTTCTTTTGGCAATTTTAAGGTTTTTATCACATACTTGTGAAGTTACGTCATTGGATCTGTCAGCTTTTTATTTATTCATAAGTGATCGACTGTGACGAGGCAGACTCCTGAGATCTGCCTCTCTTACCTTGGAACGTGTCTGTGTGCTGTGTTACCATTGCTGTGGTTTAATATATGAAAGTAGCACATAAACAATGTACAGTTGTGAATATGAATGATTTGACACCAACAGAAACACAATCCAGCAACAAACCCTGCAGGATAAGTGAGGAGACATTTCACGTTTTAGAAAAGAAAGACGACAGTGAAAAATGGAAATGTGTAATTTTCTTTCATTAAAGAAAAATAATTAAATCCACTTTTGAAATGTTATTAAAATATTATTTCTGATATTTTATACTGCCCATTGCTTTCATTATGTATTAAGTTTCAGTTATATGAACTTGACGCGTCTTGAGATTGCTCTTCATTGGCCAGAATATACACTCAGTTTATTTTAAGGTCCGTCTGACTAAAACTAATCCAGTCTGATATAATACTCCCTCCTACACTCACCCCTCCGGGAGGTTATAATGTCCAGTGTTGGTGTAATCCTGTGATTATTGAATACATTCTGTGGTACTCTTGAATTGTAATGATTTATATCGACGAGTGTTATTTAGCAAAGACTCACTGTTTAGTAAATGGGGTAAAAAACATATAGTATAAACTTGTGTCCATATAATGAAACAGCAGCACAAACAACAGCCTCCACACTGAACATAAAGTTCAACCAACACATGAATCCTTCATGAGGGAGCATTTATTCTACGATTCATTTTAGCTAGGTGCCTAAAATACATGTGCACCATCATGCCTCAACTATAGAGTCTGGTGTGCTATTCAAATAACTGCAATTCTGGAACAAGACAACTTTTATGTTGCCTGATGAAAGCCTGATATTCACTGGTAAAAAAAAAAGAAGAAATTTGCCATTCAAGGTTCAACATTTGCATAATTTCACTGCCGTCACTGCTCTTTGTGCAGAGCACAACTAAAGCTTGATTAGGCCCAACCCCATCTGTACTCTGTGGGAGCGTAAAGGACAAGAAAACAATGGCCAACAATGGATGTGGGTAGATTAGCTTCATCTGTTCTATTCTTATCCTGTAACTCCAACATCCTCTTCTGTGTTTTCTACTTCATTTGCCTCCCTGTGGCTTTTTCTTGCACAATGCATCGTTTAAAAATGTTCCTGTGACTACTGATGTTGGTTCAGGTGTATTTTCTTTACTTCGACAAATAAAACTAAACATACTGTGGAGTGAGAGAACAGTCTGAGGAGGGACACAATCACTATGGATGGCAGCGTGGTAAGACAGAGGACTCAATGCTCCACTGGATCTTTGATGACACACAGGGTGACTGGAATGAGGACAGACAGAGGGGGATGCTGGGAGATGTAGTTGACTGGCTTGGAGAAGCATGCAGCTCACTCGATTAAAGGGCAGAACCCACCTTCTCCGCTCCCCGGGCCGGCCTCAGTTATAATCTCCATTAGAGAATTTAGCCCAAATACTGCACACAAAACCCAGAATTAGTGCCGCGGAAAAAGGTGGACAGAGAGAGGGACACCGGCCCAGACACAACCAGTCTGAACATCAACCCATGACAGACATGCACACTCAACATGGTGCCGAAACAGAGACGGAAAATAATAAAGAGGAAAAGGAAAGACAGGAAATAGAAAAACACGCACTGATGGTGCGTCGACCCTTTGAAAAGATGTTCAACATTCACAGTCTCAAGCAGGAGCTGTGTATAGCTCATATTCTAAGCGATGACTGGAGTGGTTTTTCAATCGCTGGGAACAAATCTTATTTTGAGCACGATGACAGAAAAGATAATCACGACTAAACTGAGTAAAAAGTGTGATCGTCAAAGATTCATCACCGTTTCTCAAAATAGGGAAAGAAACACAACAATGGAAGCCACAACACACGCAAGCAGAGCAAGAACACATGAGCATGGGAGGCAGGTGGGATTTAAACTTCCCCCACTGAGGACGGACCTCTCTGGCGACACAATCCAAATATAAGGTTGTAACTACTTTACGTAAACGCAGGTAACACGGATTAAAACATCCTTCCGTAGTAAGGATGTGCAGATGCCACACCAATAACAGTTTGTCGTCACACGTGAAATCCTCCGACTATAAATGTGTGCATCAAAAAGACTCCCACCAGTCACACAGAGGGGAATGGCGAAGGAACAGAGGGGAGGGACGTGGATAAACATGAATAGGACATTAAAAGGCGTCCTCTATCTTAGTCCTATGCTGAGAAACAGGGTGTGAGATAGGAAATAGGTCACTTCAAGGATCAAGGAACGCCTCGTCAGGGAACTAAAACAAACTACCACACCAGACGTAACATACCCGGGCTGTCGGGGGCATCTGAACAACAAAGACAAAACACATCAGAATCAAAAGGAACAGAACAGTTTCTATGGCAGCTATTCCACATGGAGTGGAGCTATTGAGTTATGTTAACATGCTCCACTTATTTTTATTTTTTTATCTCTCTCAGCTAAAGTGAAAATCCAGCCTAAACAGAATTCACATTTCTGTCTTTAAAAAAAAATATAAATATTAGCGATTAAGTTTAAGTCCCTGTAATTTAAGCAAATGTTCTTAATGGGTGGGATACTGCAGATTTTAAATTTTCAGGAAACACAGCGACAGGCGACCGTCCTCAAAATGACCAGATTAAGCTCCTGATACCCGAGAGTCCTTGTTTAGATTTACTTACTCATGAGCTCCCTTGAAAAACTACCTGTGCACAGATTTAGATATGAACGACTCAACATGCATGATATGTGTTCACCGGCTGATGGCGGAGCTATAGCGCATCTCAACAACAAATCTGAAGTCTGTTTTTAAGTGGATTTTCCTATTAAGAATCTTGAGAGAAAAACATAGTTTCATATAGCCTCAATATTCTCCTTTAAAATAGTGCCATGTTCCATTTGGCAATCCAGAGGGAAGGAAGTCAGGCTTTTAAAAATAGCTCCACAAACCTGCTTGTTCCATTTCCTCCTCAATATCAATAGTGAAATATTCTTTTATCCCAAAAATCCAACAGAAAAAGGAAATACACACAATCAGTGGATTAATTAAATAGAAAAATAAAATGTTTAAAAACACTTTTGCTGTGTGAGTGTCATTAGTTATGGTTGTTAATGCAGAAGCACTGCTCGCCTTAAACAAATGTATGACTAGTTAGGGTTTGTAATTGTTAGAATTTTATGAATGTGATTAAAAAGGATAATTTAATTAAACATATCCAAATAAAACTAAAAACTGCAAACATGTGATGTGATGGAAAAATGACACTAATGGTCCAAAATATATTGAGAAGTGTCCTTAAACTTTCCCTACTGTACCTGTGTATTTTAACAAACCATTTTCTAATCAGCTTAATAATTCCTGAAACCACAGTGAGAAAACTGGAACAGACACAAACTTCCTGAAGTTTACATTGAACAGAAGTGTCCCATCAGCGGTGCTGTCCTACCTTTCAGGCTCGGAAAAGGTGTGGACTTATCCCTCGCTGCCTTGTTGGGGAGGGCGAGATTGGACAAACTGAAACTGGTGCCATGGTTCTTGTAGAGATTGCCTGTAGTGGGAGTGATATTAACCACAGTTACGTCTTTAAGAACATTTGACGTCGGTCTGATAAGAGCTTTCTGCGCCTCGTTTCACCACCATCCACACAAATCAGCCCAGTTTTCACGTTTTTCTTGGATTTTAGCTGAAAATTGAACACAAATGTTCTTACTGGCAAACGACATGAGGCCTCCAAACCCATCGTTGCTGCTGTTGGAGATGGTGGAGTTTGGCGAGCTGTTGCGGGAGTCTCCCTCCCCGTCAGACTCTCCCGGAAGCCTCAAGCTGCTGGGACGTAAAGGACGCTGCAACCTGAAGAAATGACCACAGACGCATCAGCGTGGGCCAGAGACACGGACACGCAGTACAGTAAACCTACAATATGGGAAAGTCTCAAGCATTCACACAACATCACACCACTGAAGATTCAAGACCACCATGAATGGAGAGAGTCGTATGGCATGCTGGGTTTGGATAGAGAACATTGCATGGTGGGTCAGAGCCCATTTGAATGATGGTAAAACATTCATTCAAGTGATGAACAAGTATAACACACTTGTTGCCATTGAGGTTCTGGTTGAATCGAGGGGTGTATGACTCCACTTGCTCCTCTGCATCAGGGTCATCCTCTGTGGGGAAGCCATACTGAGGCTCAAAGTATGGGTTATCATACTCTTGCTTTTTGTTGGCTGGGTCCTGCAGGCCAGTGTCGGCTGGAGGCCTGAGGAACGGCTGACTGCCCAGTGCAGGGACTGGGTTCTGTAAAGCAGCACTGGCTGACGCTTCAATTTCAGGTGCTTCCCCCTGCTCCTGAAAAAAAACCAGCACAGTGATTAATGGGAGCTGCGTATATTGGCTTTTTTTTCATATTAAAAAAACTTCAGCATTGCTCGTTCGCCCCAAAACACGACATTGAAAAGTTCACGATGATGCATCTAAAAAAAAAACAATAACCAGTCATCAGAACATGAGATTCAGTTTCAACAAAAGTAAAGAAGGTTACAGAGAAAAACACATTTCTAGAGGAAACACTTTGATCAGAAAGGTCACACACGTTGTTGACTCCCTGGATTATTGTACTGGGACTTGAGCTTGCGGTCGTGCTGGAGCTCGAGCGCAGAGGTTGTCCGTCAGAGGCTTCAGCAGGTCCCTCCCCACCAAGCGGACCCTCGGAGCCTTGACCTTCCCTGAATTCATGGAAGTCTTGAAACTCGACCTCACTGGCATCTCCCAGTGCAGCGTGGGTAGGAGGGTCCAAGCCTGAGACACCAAAGTCAAATACCATGAGGAGGGAAAACAGCATGAATATGGCCGATGTGCATTTTTAAAATCAAACTACTTACTTGGCGTATCTCCCTGGATGTCCCCTTGGATCATCTCACTCACCAGGTCTCCGAGCGAGGAATAAGATGAGCTGGAGTCGTCGTATGCCTCACTGTCACTTCCGCTGCGGGGAATAAAACTGATTACTAAGAGCTAACAAACCGAAATGACCATAGACTCTATGCATAAAGATGGACGACATGACAGAACCAACGGGTCAAAGAATCGCTAACGGGTAGGCTCACTCCAGGTGACGTCAAAAGCACAAGATGGCTGCACGTGTCAGGGAAAGTTTGGCTTCATTTTTGTGGAACGGGAATTTGCATAAAGCAAGAACTCATGAATGAAACTGGATTGTTGTGCTTCGGTTGCTCTTTTTTTTTTTGTTTTCCCTCTACCTGTCAGTGGGATCAGATTCGTTGCCATCATCCTCCAAGGGACCGGCCATAGCTTCAACCAGCTGGGAGCTTCCATCGTACACTCTGTACACCACTGGCTGTAGCTGGTGAGCGTACCACTTGGGCTTGTCTCCGATTAAGGACGGGTCAAACACATCTGCAACAAAAGTAGAATGTTTGTCCAACACGTGTTCTGTGAAGAACACTGAACAACACACAGACTTAAATCTACTTAAAATGAGTCTCACTGTTGTGTATCCTCTGGAAGGCGAGGTTGGTGGGATTGAGAGCCCACTCTCCGTAAAACTCCACTGCCTGCGTGTGAGACAGTTTATCCGCGAAGCTCGAGCGCCGCGGCCGAGACGCAAGAAAAGACGTCGACTGGAAAGCCACCACCGGTCGGGGGAAGAGGCGCAGGGTGCGAGTGTGCATCTGGAACCCCTGAAGAACGTTGGCGGAGTTGAAGAAACGTACCATGGCCACCCTGCAAGACAGAATGATTTCAGTTTAATATTCCTTGACTTCACGGTTCGGAGCACTTTACAGAGACAGCAGAGAGACTTTGAGGACTCGCCTGGTGGCCACATCCACTGAATCGACGTCATTGCCGTAAATCAGAGGGTTGAACTCTGTGGAGGACGGCGAGGCTTTGTCTCGTCCAGGTGGGAGCAGAGGCATCTCCTGACCTTCCTGGAACTTCTCCAGGTTCAGGATGGGTTGGGTGTTCAAACTCATACTGGCCAAGGCCTACGACAAGCAACAGTGACACTAGTTACAAACCAAGCAGTGGATTCATAAACAAAAACACAGCGCTGCGATGGACCACTCCCACGTTTGGCATCAACATTTACTTTAGACTTTCAATTTCTTTAATTAATGGGACAATATTTAATAATTTGGGGAAACAATTGGGACCAAAGTATCTGATTGCAAAAGTTTAGTGGGTTAAATATAGAAATGATCATTTATGGGATGATTCAACTTTCTTAAAATTGTTCTCAATAGCAATCCCAGTAAAATGCAATGTGGAAAGGTAGAGGATGATAATCTTTATGGTCCCGCTATAAGTTTTCTCCAATTTTCTTATTATATAAAGCGGCTGAAGGATCAGTTTTATGCACATTGATGCCTGTAGTGGGTGTGTCATGTTGGAGAGGAAGAGCACAAGGGAAGTAAGTCACTATGCATGGTTTGCTTTGAGGGAACTGCTGCAGACTCAAGTGTCAATGTTTAGCTTAGCATAATGGAACATTTAGTTGCTGGGTCTGGATGGATGTTAACTTTGTCAAAGTGATTAGCTTCATCGTATCTTGTTTTGGTCACGAGAACACTCACTGATGCCAAGATAGATGCACGCACATTCAGTCATGCGCAAGCCAGAGCTAAGCAGTGTATCGAGAGGACTGGTCCCAAACATTCTGCAACACTTTTATGCATTTTATTCAAGTCTTGAGAAGAGGAGACAAGTAGTAGTGACAAGCAAAAACAATGTGAGAGAGAAGAATATCCGTGCAGGGGCATTACACATTCCACAGGAGGAGAAATAAGTAACCTTATTTTCAGAGGAGAAGATCTGCTTTTGGGTGATCACGGTCAACCTAACCAGACACTAGGAAGGGGATAAGAGAGATGCGAGGAGAATCACATGAAGGCCTGGGATGACAACTTCGTGACTGACACTGGAACAGCACATGACGGAAGAGTCACAACTGTGGCGCTTTCCCTTTCTTTCCTTTATCTCCTTTTAACAGCACTTCCTTTTTTGCTGACAGCAAAAAAGCAGACGAGAAATCAAATAAATCTAGATGTAAAAAAAAAATACATTGATTGATTGATTTATTTATTTTTTGCTGTTTTATCATTTTCAATGTTGTCTAAAATTTACTGAAGAAAGGAGATAAGAAAAGGTAAATCTGTATTTGCTTTCGAAGAGGTGATGGACAGCCAGGAAAGCAAGAGAGTGTCCGACAGTAAAGAGAGAGAGAACTTTCTGAGAAAGTGAGATCAAGAGAGGAAGAGGAAAGATGTTTTTTTTTTTTTTTTTTTTTTTTTTTTAAATGGTTCATGTGAAAGACAGTGAGGGACAAAGACAGGTGACCAAACAAACCAGACTTCACCCAGAGAATCCAGCCACTAACAGACACATGGAGACCATCCATGGTGACCAACTGGAACAAACCAGTGATTACAATGGAGTGGTGATGACAGAAACAAAACAGCAGATCTTTTCAGACACAGAGGTAAAATACTTGCACGACAAAAGTACCTGGAGCAAAACAAAAGCCTTAATTGTAACTGATAATTCAGAGAGAAAATGTTGGGTGAGCGGAAATAATTAAAAAAAAAAGTGTGTCACTTCTTTGTGCAAGTATTTTCAGTGGCTCTCAAAACAGCAGCGTTCTGCTTTGGAATCACAATCTGATAATCACTTAAAACCATCTTCGCTGACATTTTCTCCATTCACAGATAATTCAGTTATGTGAGCTTGTTTCCAAATATACAACTGCTAAACTGAGGCTTTGCACACTCCTACACAGCAGCCTCGCAGTCACACACACACACACACACAGAGGGAGAGAGAGCTGCTAATCACACACAGCTAATGAACCGGCTCTGATTCAAGGCATGTTACACAAAATAATAATCACTGTGTGCACAGGATTCTAACTTTTTTTTGAAATTAAGTTTCAAAGACATGAAGTTACGTTGGAATAAAACACACAAGGAAGGGGCAAAAATAAAAAAATGATAGTTTACAGATTAAAAACAGTTGCAGGGTGACGACTGCACAGCGTGTGAAGCTTTGAGGATGGATCTGTAAAACTAACTCAATTGTGATACCGGAAATGATGACGCTCAAATTGTGCCCCTGCATCATTTAAATATATGATTAAAAGTAAATGATTCTAAGGATTTCAGTCACATCTAATCTTCTTTATGGATGAGACATGTTTTTTTAAAAATGGAGTTGTTCAAATAAGAATTATAACAAATGATCAAATGGTGGCAAATGTTTTAGAAGTGCAGTGGAAAAACAATGTCTGGGTTCACGGTAATCTAACTGACGATCGACAGCCGAGGCTAACGGACAATATGCAAACTGAACGATCCCATTTCCATATCTGCAAAGATGTGAAGGGACTTTGTATGAGAGGGTGTTGGCATCACTCACAGTGTAGACGGATGAAAAGGTCTTTCCATGAATCAGAACCAGATTCTGATGTTATATTAAAAAGGGAACCGATTATGCTTTTTTTAAATTTTTTTATTTTGGAACTCCACTAGAGCAGCTCTTCATTATTCAGAGTTAAAATAAATCCTTATTTATCCCAAACTCCCCGTCAGCTGAGCCTCTGCTGACTCAAACCAGCTGTATTAGCTCAGACCTCCTGCGCTGAGAGGCAGCAAACTCGACGCTTTGCGAGCACCATCTCATTTTTAAAAGCTGAAAATCATCATGTACTCAGAAGCCAAAGCTAATTAGCGGAAAATAATAGATTTGAAATGGCAACTCTGTACACGACAGAGCCTGAATTCGATCTTGAGCAGGCAGCAGTAACATCCACGGCAATAAAGATGGCAGCAGGATGCCTCTACTCGATAAATATTACGCTGATTACCTGCTTAATGTGCAACATAAGGGTGGATTCAGTCTGTCAATGTTTTAAATTTCCTGTTTATAGTTTTGCATGTACAACGTCTGTCAGGAAGTATCAAAGAAAACTTTGCAAGTTTCCAAAATACTGTATGGTCAACCTGCACCATTAGTAATTTAAATGCAGTAGTACATTAAATACAGTACTACTCATGTAGACTGTTAAAGGAAAACCAGCTGTGGTTGGAGACGTAAGGAGTTTTGGAAGTGGGAGAAATGTTGGAATCAGTTCTTGTCTCACAGTAATTGTGCAAATATCGATTCTTCTGAAATTGTAAAAATATATGCATTACGTATACATAACTATGTGACAGGAAAATAAAGAAAAGCATAATAGGTCCCTTTAAACAATGAGGTTACAGGGGTAAGTTAGTTACTACAAGTATTTCTAAAGGTTTTGCTTGGGGAGCACAGTCCTAGCATCTGATTTTACCTCCAACAGCTAGAGCATGCAAAGAAAACAGGACAAAACAGAAAAGAAAAAAAACATTTGTTTATGTTAGTGCATTACAAAACCCTTTTCAAAAACGCCGCCACACATGTTCAATACATACAACTGTGTTGAGGGAGGAAACCCCTACTCTTCGCACTGCTGAAAGAGAAGTTTTATGCTTCTATAAGACTTCAATCACAGGTCACGGGAAGATACATCAGACGTTGGCTCCACACGAGTCCCTGAGTTCTAAGAAATGTCTCAGCAAAATGCTAATCTGCAGCAGTTTGAGTGGACTTTTTGCTGACTGCCACCGTGTAAAAAGAATCAGAACAAAGTCACACAGGATCTAAGAGGGAATCAGATTTGCAGTACCTGCTTCAGATGTTTCTTAAGCTCGCCTGCTTCCGGCTCTGGGAGAGGTGGTAGCAGCTCTGCATTGGTGGGTGCGACAACCTGCCGGCAAATAAACAGTCCTCTCACATCAATTCTAAAAACGCCCCCCCCCACAGGAGCCGGTTAATTAGACATTATCTGTCTGCTTAACCTGGACATGATGAAAACAGACAGAACAAGATCAGAGGGCGGAGAGGAACACAGAGCGGATGTACCGACCTTGCTGCTGTCAAGGTCCACAAGCCACACGTCATCCGGGATTTTGAAATCAGATTTGTAGAGAAAGAAACTTGCCGGTACGCCGATAATGTAGGGAGTGGGGGCGAGAAGGAGCTGAGGGGACAAGCAAACACACCAGTCAGTCACAACTGGATGTTACAACCACAGACAGCAATCTGCTTAACTGAAAATATATTTGTACCTGTTCAGCCGAGGCCATACATGTTGGCAGTAGAGGGATGACAGGGAACATGTACTCCAGAGGGTAGATCATGGCCACAAAGGCCATAACGCTCATTGATAAAGCGTTGTAATCTCTGGATTGAAGAATGACCTGAGGGGAAAAATACACACAAACTTTTCACTTTCCTGTGTTTCGATACAAAACGGTCAGACACACCGACACCTCGGTGACGACTTCTTCTGTTGCTCTATTGTATTACGATGGTTTATCGACTCCTCCTCTTTCTTGTGTGGCGTAAAGATGTGAACAACCATTTGACCGTGGATTCATAAGAGCAATATTAAAAACTGAGCTTTTATGAAAAGCTTCTATCTGCAGCATGAAGAGCTTGAAAAGAAAAAAAAAAACTCATTTTTTTTTCCCAGCAGCACTTAGTTCAGAGCGGCTGAATTGAATGATGCTTTGAATTCATCTTCAAAATAAAAGAAAATGGATGAATAGAAAATGGCTGAGTATTCATCAGGTGGTCGACTGTGGGGGAGGAGAGAGGTGGAGAAGCTTTTCTCATCTCCTGTCTTCAGTAAACTGTAGACTTGAAAATGGGGAAATAATAAAAGAGTAAGAGCCAAAGAAATAATGAGACGCAGGGACTGAATAATGAAAAATAAAAAAGACTAAAATATTCTGGATGGAGCGGATTTGATGCAGGAAGGTGGCAGAAATACATTTTTATATTTGAGACATGCTTAAGTGACAGAACAACAAGCAGCATTTATCCAACCCTGAGGTCTCCGCACTGTGGGACTGAAGCTGTAAAGTTGAGGTTTGATCGGTTGCATCAGTGTCACTGTAAACCAAGAGCAGCAGAACACTACGCCACCACAGAGAAACACAGATTCCTACTACATCCCTGCTGGTGCCTCCAGTGATACAGAGAGAAAGACAGAACGGAGGTCTTTATGTTCAGTCACTCCGTGTACTCAGTCTTCTGTTTACCCATGATCCTTTGTCCAAACTGCTTCGGTGAGCTTTCATCTAACAGGAAATGACGGATGAAGGACGCGCAGGACATTTCTAAGGAGGTCTGTAAAAATAAATGTAGCTTTGCTCATCCTTTCTCGTCGAAGCATTCAGTCTGGTCTTTAATGAAAACCCACCAGGGATATGGCTTCAGTTTGAAGCCACGCACACATCTCATGTTCCTACTCAGTAAACATCGGTACAGAAAGCAAGGACGGGAGAAACAATCGATTAGAGGCTGTCAGCATCCTGAACTCACTGCTGTGCATGACCTCACCTTGTGCTCGAGCAGTATACAGCTGAGGACCTGAAGACAGGCGTCCACACCCAGCAGCTCCAGGGGCAGGTGCAGGGGGAAGTCGACCATAGAGAAGCGGGAGTTGTCCGGCAGGGCGAAGTTGAAAGGTCGTTTGAGTTCATGGGGCAACACTTCCACGTCCACGCGTCTCTGACCAGCCACGGGTACCGGTGAACGCAGCAACCGGTACACCCAGGATTCAATCTCCCGCAGGTCGGCCAGCAGCTGGCTGCCTTTCTCTTCCACCGACAGCGCACCAGTGAAGACTCTCCACATGGTGTCTCTGAAAGGGAATTAGGAAAAAATAGATTAAAATAAACAAATGTCAGTGTTGTTTTTTTTTTTTTTTTACATTTGTTCAGATTAAGTTCAGAGAGAAATTATCAACTTCAATTTAATGTTTCTGCATTTAGTTTATCATATAATCCACCAGTAGAAGATATTGAGGTTTAAACATTTATTTACATGTTTCAGTGATGGTTTTTTTTTTTTTCTAACACATGCACTCGACAGTGATTTTAGGGTTAATAGATGAAGCGACCGCGAGGACAGAACAAACACCCGCTGAAATCACTAATACGATGAGCAAATGAGACTGAAACACAGGAGAGGCTCTTGAGCGATTGGGAATTGCAAAGTATTGATGTGTGAACCCTCACTCTGTGCACACATGGTGTCATTAAACCCTTTCTAGAGTGTATGCACAGTGCACGTGTCGCGAAGTGGGAGATAAATCATTAGGCCTTTCGAGCCCTCCCACCAACTGCAGCTGCTACCCGAAGGCAGCCAGAGACCTCAATCTGTCAGAGCACGCCATAGCGCAGAGCGCTCGCAGCCATTATGCAATGGCCTGCCTCCCTCTCCGTCATTGACACGCCGCATTTCAACGAAGCATGTCAGGGTGAAAAGGATTCTCAGGTCGCTTCAGCCGTCGGCTGGAATGGCTTCTCCAAGGTTGTCAGATAAATGAGACTTTTTAAACCAGAGGAAAATACAGAGATGGTCTGAGATTAGCTGAGCATTAGACCCTCAATTACTTATAGTGATGATGAAGAGAAAGCTCCACTGGTTCAACACCTATAAATACACGACTATGAAGAAAACGCTGGCACCAGTGGGTGAAAACCAACAATCACGCTGGGCCGGAGCCAGAGCTAAGTGACAGCCTAATTAACACTTTGTCACTCCAATATTGCAACCTACTGAGTCACCCATGGCAACGGAATAACTGTCACATCACTAAGTCACAACCAAATGGTGTTTTTTTGTTTTTTTTTCACTGCCTCATTTCTGCAGCTTTAAAAAAATACGAATCATCGGCCATTTTACCACATGAGCAGTTCTTTGCCTGAAGTCTAACAAGTGAAACGCCATTTCTCCATGTTGCTGTGTATACAGTGGGTACTCCATGCAGTTCCTAGGTGTTTCTTTGGTTTTCATTTTACTTACTTACTGTAATAACTTCCTGCTATTCATAGAACACGAGGATCAACACACCTTCACAGTCACAGTCACAACGTTTAACCTTTAAGCAAAACCTGTTACACTGGTTGAAATAATATTTGCCCGTAACACAAATTTCTGAAAAACAAAACTGATAAAATACACTGTGAACACATTGGTTTCCATTATTTATCATTGAGGTGCAGTGCAGAGCGCACTGTGAAAACATGACAAGCTGCACGGCGCCGCAGACAAAGGCGCTTGTATAAATTCGGAAACACAAACACACAGGTGGACGATGAGGGACGCAGATGGGAGGACAATAGAAAACATGTGCATGTTTTCCTCACCCTAGTTCTGGGTTATGGACAGAGGATGTCTCAGCTTGTTGCAAAGAGTGATTTGTGAATATGGGCCATAAAATGTTTTATTTGATTTTAACTGATTTGATTCCAACCCCATAGTGGTTGAGAGGGAAGGAATAAAAACTGTACAGAAGTAGAGGAGCTAAAATTGATGGTGCGACAGTAAAGGCGTTCACTAGAATCAAAGGCTTCATCCTCGGTGGTGTGAATGTAATTGGCTAATTTAACGGCAGTGTGGATTTACGAGGTCTTGTGATCAATATTTACACTTATCCTCAGAGCGGCACGAGAAAAAAGGTCTCATATGGTCAAAAATAAGAAGCTTTCATAATCTGACAAGCAAGAATGTGCATTTTCATAGCGATTAACTTTCAGATGTTATTTGTATTTGTTTAGATTTGTATTTTTGATTAATTATCCGTGTGCTTGAAGCCCAGAATCCCAAACTTAAACTTAAAGGTTAGCCGCGCAGATGAGTTAGAAACTCGTAGGGGCGGTTTTAAGCCTCACCTCTGGGTGGCACGAGGGAGCCCCGCCCGCTGCGTAAGCCTCTGACTGCAGCAGTCCACCAGCCTCTTCAGAATATATAGGCATTCCCTGAAGGTGGAGAAGAATGGGTAGTGGCTGAGAATACACAGCGAGGTCAGCGTGCTGTTGCGGTTCCTGGCCGCCGTCTTGACAGCGCTTCGTCTGTGCTGAGGGGATTTGCTGGCATTTAGCTCGGCACCTGGTTTTCTGCCCTCTTCTCCGGAGGCAGGCGGAGGTGCGGACTCGGCGTTGCTGGGCGGAGCTAACACAGAGGACGAGCCTCCACTGCTCCCATCAGAGCCACTAGTGGTCTCCGCTGCCTGCGCTGCTGTCTCTGAGTGGCCGCTCTTGTCCCCGCGGGTACGGTGATGCCCTCGCTGAAAAGAGCGGTAGAAGTTGATGCAGATTCCGTAGCGGGTGATTCCTGAGTCTTTGTCTGTGAGAGTGAAAACAAACGAGGAGTCGTCACGGAGGCTAACTCTGCGCTGGCGTATGCTAAGGCAGCCCTCCGGTTGGCAGAAAAACACCACATCTGGTGGGAGTGGAAAGTCATGGTGGTCCTCCAGTGGGTAGCGGCGAAGGAGCTGAGGTGTCTGGGCCACACTGTCACTGCTAGGTTGCCTGGAGGGGGGGCGATAGAAAAACATTTGTTCTGTTTTTAAGAAGCAATGACAAGCAATGAAAAAAAAACCCAGAACAAAGCGGACATCTGAATGTTTTGAGAGTAAAAATGAGAGGAATCATCAGCTATGGCTTCACAGTTCAACACAATTAAACACCTACAGTGTGGAAGATTTTGTCTGCATGGTTGGTAAAAACTTTGGACAAACACCTGATCGAGTGCTCTGCAGATTTCCACGAAACTTGGTGGAATGATGAAACAAGAATTCTTAAAACTCCAGTAATTTTATTTCACCTTCTTTAACATTTTTGGACATTTTGACAGATTCGCATGGAAACAGTTCATGGATCTTGAAGGAAAATCCTCTGGGACGTGGAGTGGACTGGTATCTATATAAGTCTGTGCAGTTTGGTGCAAATCCAACAATATATTTGGATGTAGTGAATTTAAATGTGGACTCATATGGGGACTGTTGGGTCATGACAAAGCTATGTGCTCTACTGTGTGCCATTCTAGTTTACTTTGTTGTTGTTCCTATCATTAGCTCAAGGTGGTTGGATAACTCTGCTTTTTGCATTTTATAACTCACTTGTGATGTGATCCATTGTCCCTCGTGTGTAACCGTAGTTTTGAATTGAATTTGAAACGGTCATCATCTCATGAGAAGTATTTTATAAAAGAGGAATCGAAGGCGGTCTCTGATCGCTTCACAGTAAAAACACAATGTCTACACAAAGTCCTGACAGAAGTCTGGTGGTTACAAAAGCTCATTTTGGCTATATTTGGCTTTTGGAATCCAAAAACTGAAATAAAGATTCAGGGAAAGTTCACAAACTACATGCACCCCATCCCACAAGAACTCTGAAATTGCCCCTGAAGCAAATGACCTAAAATCCATAAATGTTACAGCAGAGATGTTTGGTGGCCAGCTTTGAAAACAGTAGCACCCTGGAAGATTTGCTAATTTCACAGTGTTTACATGAGTCATCCTTTTCCCCTGTGGATAGTCTGCTTGAAACAATGTGCCACTATGCTTCATAATACATGCCACATCAGTTCCAGAAACCTGAGAGTGGTAAAAGTGTTAACACAGGGGTGGAGGATCCTCTGGCCCCCAGGAGGATTTAATAAATACATAAAATAACCTTGAGACTATTGGTGCCCCATCGCCTCAGGAATGATATAAAAAGTGAACAAGATGAACAGAGCTCTTCTCCAGGAGGCCTCACGGGAGAAGATAACTTTTATTTTTTATATATTTACTTATTTATTTTGAATTATTGCTCGGCAAAGGGCAAATTGAATCAAGTGCTGACTAGTGACCACAGCAGAGCAATAAATCTAAAGCAAAAACCTGAAATGAACGGACATAACCCCAGTCTACCTATCTGCTCTGTTGGCAGGACTTCATAAATATGATGCACCAAACAAAGACGCTCTATACAAGAGACAGAGCGACCACGGGGGGGGGGGAGGTAACGTCTTGATCAAACCCAAGACAACATTTCTGCTTTCGGTCTTTTCGTTTCTAGTGAACATAGTTGGTTTGGGAACAGCAGTGGTTGTAGTTTGTGGAACGTGATATGTTCAGAATGAATAAACGTCGTCTGATCAGCATCTTTACCTGTAACTGTTTTGTTGTGAACAATATTTTGAATAAAGTAAAATAAATAAGGAGATTATAAAGTTTTCACCCATGTTTGATTACGCTTAAAACCACTGAATGGATTTCCACGAAACTTTGGGTGTAACACGTCAAAATTGCTTGTCGGGAAAACTGTTGTTAATCAGTAAAGACGATACGTCTCTACAACCTGATATTTCCTCAGCCGACATCACTAAACTTCAGTTTTAATATTTGGCTCCACCCTTATGTCTTAACTGACGATAACTTTAAACCAAAACTACTTAAAGTCAGATTAAGTTCTTACCTTGCTCCAACCACGACTAAGTAGTCGAGAAGGCGAGGGCACATTTTCTTTTTCTCCATCTTGGATTGACCTCGTCCTGTGTGTCACGGGCATCCAGGATAAATGTTCAGTCTTGAGTCAGCGTTGTCTTTTCATCACAACTGGGAACGTCGAAGCATATAGTTGAAACGCTGCGCCTCGCTCATCATCGTGTTGGACCAAGAGGTCCAGACCTGTAACACGCAGACAAGAAGACGAAACATGAGCTCACGTCTTTCTACGGACACAATAAAATAAACATGGGAGTAAAGACTGAAAAACAACGGAGATGCAATAAACATTATTTTTTAATAGCTGAAAAATTGAGTTAACGATTGCATCAAGCTTTAATCTTTGATTTTTCATTCATGTGAAAGACAACGTGGCCATAAACAGACGGTTTAAAACACAAGGAACTTCTCCATTTACTTTAATGAGAGAGATTTTTCAGTTGTAGAAACTGTGATGTTGGTTGTTCAGACAAGTAAACAACCCGTCACAGCCACTGTTTTATTTTACAAACCACCGATGTAAGATCAGCAGCAAGATAAAACGAAGCAGCACTAAATTACTTTTATGAGAGTTCCATGATTCGTGGAAAAATGTGAATCTGGCAGATACGGGCACGACAAAGAGTTTTCATGTGATGAAGCCCCGCTGTCAAACTGCTGGAAATGAAACTGCAATGTCACAACGACATTTACTCAGAAGGACATGAAAAACACTGATGTCATTTAAACCTTCAGACATTCTCATTTTACAGTGATCGACTCGACTAATAAAAAACTAACTGCCCGGCTCTTTCTTATGAAACTTGCTGCGTGTGTTTTAACATTCTGTTTGACCATTGTTTCAGCTGCTTGTTTTTGTGGAGGGATAAGGATTTTTCATTAGAGGCTCACTAATATAATAAGCAGCTTAGGGGCCTGAGGGGCAGAACAAGCAACAACCCTTCCTCACTGGGACTGTGGTCTTTACGGGCCTGACAGGTGACTGGAGTGTTCAACACAGAGCTCCTCTCTGACATCTTCTCACGGCCTAGAAGACAATCGTCAAAGTTACGAACTTAACAAACCGAGATGGGATCAGGACAAAAATAAACGATGTGGCCTTCTGGTTCTCAGCCCAAGTTAGAAGACGCTTAACAAATTCATTGACTGCTACGTGACGAAGAAAATCTTGGCTATGTCCCTTTCTTCCACCAAGTTTGTTGGAAATCCACTCGGTCAATTTTTGCATAATCCTGCTAATAAACAAACCAGCAAACAAACAAGCTGAGACAAAAACTTGTAATTCAATGATTATATTGGAAGCGACGTCCTCCATCTCCGCTGCCAGGCATCTTCGACATCTCTTGCCAAAACCAGCCTCGGAAACCAAAACAAATCAGGTTTCTTCTACTGGATCTTGTCAAACACATATTTCCTTTGGTCGGTCAAAGAAATACAAAATGGAATTTATCCTCAATAAGATCACAACAACACACACACACACACGTTGCACGGCAGGAAAGAGAAAGTCTTTATATCTGTCTACGTCAATTGCGGGTGGCGAAGCACCAGCTCTGAACCGAGCACATAAAGCCCTCTGTATTCTCTGCAAATTTAATTTCATGTATGATTCAGCATAACAGCCATACTTCATCTGGATGTAATTTCTAAGCTTTGAATTGGAACACAATTGTTGTTTCAATTCCTTGTTAAAAAGCTGTAATATATTTTGGTTAAACTGTTGTTTATATTACCACGCAGGCTATTCCAAGAAATAAAATTCAGATCAACGATGGAAAACATCGTCTTGTCCGGAGATAATTCAGCACGATCCCAGTTAAAGAGCTTTTTTTCCTCTGGCAAGTGAACAAAGCGATTTTACGAGCTCTCCGGTTTCCCTCTCTGCTTTTCAGACAAAGCTCTCCTTCCATATTGCCTCAAACAGCTCTCTGAACAGTAACTTCATGCACCGGAAGAAAGCAGCTCGTGTTCGATTCTGGATACAACTCCTATCAGGGGAATCGGCATAACGTATCATGAAATTGAGACGACGGTTGAATTATGGGGAGATAAAATAAAAACACTCGGGTCAGGTTTGTTCTCCGCTGACCCTCCTCCAGCTGCCGCTCGGCCGTTCACATTGATTTCTGAAGCAGAATCCGATTTCTCAACAGCAACAGTCAATTTCCATTTATTCCTCCGTGAACTTGGCAACACTGAAATTCACGTCCATCAATTTATGAACCGAGGCCGATCTGCTGAGTTCTTGAGCCAAAGCATTTACATAAAGGGATGATGATGATGATGATGATGATGGTGGTGGTGATGAAGGGGGAGCACGTCCCTTAGCTTCAGTCAATATGAAACCAACAAGTCCTCGAGATGTTCAACTAGAAACATGAGACAGGAACAAGCCCTCGAAGCGTCATGACATTAAACATAGACACAAAACAAGGTCATATGTAATATTTGTCTCGTGTCACGTGTCGGGTGCAGTCAGCGAAGCAGCGAGCGCTACCGTATGTCTCCGACTGGCCTGGTCGCTTGATCATAAATAATTAATGAGGCAGGTGAAAGACAGCCTGTGCTGCAGAGAGAGGCAGAAACACATTAAACCACTGATATATCATCTTGTGGGAACCAACACCTCAAATTACAGGTGAACAACATGGGCCCTTTAGCCTGGCTATGTTAGGGGGCGTGTCTCACCGTGGAAGCATCGGCGCAACCACACTCGAGGTGTTTCAGGAGCTTGAGCAGTTTTCTGTGGGGGTACTCTTGTAGTAGAGTGTGTACTCTTGATGAGGAGATTAGGATGAATTAACAACTCCGTTCAAAAACAAACAAACCCGGACGGAGGGAGGGAGGGAGGGAGGGAGGGAGGGAGGGAGGGGATGTGATGGGCTCAACTCAGCTCTCAAACCATTTGCGGGGACACAATCATTTATTCGTTCCCACCGAACACGTCATGTTTTGTTATAAGCTGCAATAATGTGACGTTTACTGACGTACACTCCCCCACAAAAGGAGGTCAGAGGTCAAGATGATAAGAAACCATCTGCTTTGTTTCTGCCCGTCAGTTACCTGCTGTTCATACCACTGTGTTTTACACCAGCAGGGACTCAGCCAGCTGTCACGTCCACAAACAGATTTCACTCGGCGTGATTGTTACACGCTGCTGCAAAATGGCGGTTCTGCTAATAAGTTGTGGCTCTTTGATTCTGAGGGACGGACACAAACACTTGGCCGCTAACTCCTGAGTCTGTAGACTGTGGAGGAACCAAACGTTTCAGTGGATTCTATCGTACTTCACACATCCTGTTATGTCACACAGACGTTATAATAAGACATTATGATATCTGTCACAGCTCGAGAGGGGGAAAAGGCGTTAAAGCTTATCTGAGGACGAGCTCACTGTAGAGAGAGATGTAAAACACACGTTTGGAGGGAGAGAGACGGGATCGACTCTGTGCCTTCGCTCTGACAAACAAATGCCACATGAGGTCGTGCTTCAGAAGCTCCACCCTGAAACACAAACACTGAGAGCAGCTTTTCTCCGTCTCTTCGGGGCTGTTATTCCTGCGCTGATACGCTAATGGATCTGCAATTTAGTCAGTAGCTGTTATGCATTCCAACTGAAAAACCTGGGCGGGGGTGGGGATTACACCGTTCATACAGGAAGAGGCGTCACAGTTTAAAAATAAAAAAAAGAAATCACACCGGGAAAAAAACTGAATATTATCATTTATGATATTTTAAATAATCAGACAAGTTTGCAGTGGCTTGAAGCTTAATTTAATTTACTCGTTAAATTATTAAATAAAATAGAAAAAGGGCCATTAAAATGGACAGATTTACAGGGCTCGTAATTATCTTGACATTAGATGTGAAAACAAGTGAAATAAACAACTATTAACATTAGAAATGATCCCGACACAGTGTTGTCATAGACGCATTGCATCTGAAAGCAGCCCGACTTCAAAAACTGTCTAAAATTAAGTTTCGGCTGCAAAAGCAATAGGAGATAATTTAAAAAATAAAAAAATATTATATACAAACCACAACGATCTTAAGTGTGATTAACACGTTAAATGCATGTTGACATGTGACACGGACCAGAAACTCTACAACACAGGTCTTTCTTAGGTCACGACCCATCCCTCCGCAACATTTCATGGAAATTGGTTCAGCGGCATTTAAATAATCCTGTGGACAAACGGACAGACACACCGCAATGACAACATTACCTCCTTTGTGCAGGATAAGAGTACCCAGGCTGACAGGATCTGAAGATGCGGTTCACGTTGAAACACGTCGTTTAGACGGGGCTTAATGTCTCCGCTCATCACACTTGGTAAAATTATTCAAGCGCACCCCGAGCCTGACAGTCTCCTGCTGCTCTTTGCATGTTAATGAACAAGAAGGCCACAGTAAACTGTCACTTCGCATTAACCGGTATATCTGCATTAAGAAGATAGGCAGAGTACATGACCCTGTGTGGGAATATTCTATTTTTAAAGCTTTTCTTTTTTTTTTTCTTTTAAAAACAATTCAAGCTACAGTATTTCTGCATACGTTTGAGCATGTTGAAGGGTTGGAGGAGTAAACAGTTCATTCTCACCAATTACCAGGAGGAAAACAGGAAGTGATCACAGCAGAGTACACATCTAAACCTTTTTATCTCAGGTCTGGAAACATAAACGCCTCCTGGTACGAAGCCAAAATGTCCATTTTATGAAGCAGGACCAGGCAGAGGACACATCATTATTTTTAGATGAGGACGGAAGGACTTCACCACTTCACTGGTTGTATTGAGTGAGTGAGTGAGCGAGTGAGTGAGTGAGTGAGTGAGTGAGCGAGCGAGCTTTGTATTGAACTTGGTTTCGCTGCCTCTCTTTAAAAACACCAGAAAGACAGACAGATATGATTCACAGTGTTTCCTGCCAGTCACAGTGACCAGCAGTAACTAGCGATGGAGGCGGTTGAATTTGTTTCATCTGAGCGACGACGCGCAAACGAGAGAAAGATGAAGTGTAGATAAATAAAAGTATTGATCGCTGCACGCTCACTGTTAGATGTAGATTACTGACGCAGTGTTTGTTTATTACACGCCTGAATAAATGTAGCAACCGATTTATTACCCTGTCAATAAAACTGGTTCGCAAGAAATTCAGGCAAACAGAGCTTTACTTAAAAAGTGAAGCCGAAGTGTCTAAATCGCCCCCTGGTGGCTGGATGTCCTAAACCTCCTCCATGTTAGCAGGTGGGACGTGAGCCCAAGGAATCTAAAGACACCACGTTCACGTGCAGCCTGCACGAACGTGAACGCATGCGTTCTTCAGCACATCCTCTTTGCACACTTCTCACCACTTGCGTTGCAACAGCTGAATGTGATGACACACTGCATTCGGCCCGGGTGCTATGACTCAAGCCGTCATGTCGAGCTCGTACGGTCTCATGAGGAACAGGGAGGGACCTGCGCTCCGTGTGCAGCACATGAAGACAATGACAGACACACCTGGGTAATTTAACAATTAACCGTGCAACCCAAACCTTTTGTTAATCCACATCTGTCCTTCTGTGGGACATTCCACTGACAGACAGCAGAGGACGTGTTTGTCCCAGTGCGAGCATGAGCCACCTTTACACGTTTTGAGTAATGGCAACTAACGATGGAGGACTACGTTGGATTCGGGGACTGTTCTGGTGTTTTTGTGGTCGTGCATAAATCAGTCGTGCTAAGTATTTCATTACCATGGTAACAGACGAAGCTTCAAAGCATTTTGTGTTTTGGGAATAATTTGGATGTGGAGCAGTGACACAAACCTGATCATTAGAAAACCAGAAACAGCATTTTATTATTATTATTATTATTATTATTATATGTGAAGTTATAGCTGCAGCCTTCACCTCTTATGTCTACTTATATATATATATATATATACTATAATTAAAATATAGTATTGTTAATATCTACATGAGTACATACTTCTGTACACTGACAGCTTTGCGGTGTTTACACTTTATGTTTTATTCTTCTTAATATTTCCATCTCTCCATATCACATGTGACTTTCTGTTTATTTACTTCATCGCTTTATTGTTTTGTCTCACATTTCTCGTGGATTTTGTTCATGTGACCAATAAAAGATGGACTGAATGAATGAATGAATGAATGAAGTCTAACCCTGAAAGGTAACTAGGATCTCAGTACACAGTGAATGTATTAATACTCTGACAGGTACACAGTGTGAAGGTAGAAGGTGAAATACTACTAGTACACAGTAACTGAGTACATGTACTTGGTTACCTGCAGGTTTGACATTGAGTGAAACAACAGAGACCAGGCCTCAGTGACCAACACGTTTTAAATGCTAACGACAGATCCCAGATCAGGTGAAAGGTGATTTTACTGACAGTGTGTGTGTGTGTGTGAGATTACAGACGATGAGCTGAAGGTAACTGAGCTAATAACCGAGGCTAACGATGCTAACGTGTCTCGGTGGATCGGGCAGACGGTCACGTGTAGCTGCGGGTTGTGTCTCCGTGTTTTCGGGTTCGGTGTCGAGGATCCAGGCCTCGTCTCCCCCCGACACTCACCCCGAACATCCCTCCCCTCAGCGCCGCTCTCTCCGCTAGCTCGGTGCTCTCCTGCGCCACGGGTGGATTAGCTAGCTAGCTAGCTAGCCTAGCTAGCTAACGCTAGCTCCCCCGCCCCCGTGAATAACGACACGCACGTAACAAAAGGTGCCGGGTGTGAGGACGTGTCCCCGGGGGGTGGGGGTGGAAGAAACGCCGCGGGGTTCAGGGGCTCAGGTGTCGGCGTGAAGAGCGTCCTCACCTGGGTGCGTTAGCCGGTTAGCCGCTAACGCTCGCTGCGGAGCCAGCTGCTGCCGACGGCCTGGGTTGGAGGGTGTCCTGCTCGGTCACGGAGGGAGAGAGGCTCGGGCGTCCGGGTGATTCTCGTGGAGACCGCGGTGCAGCATCGGGTGTGGAGGGAAGGGGCCGCGGGGCCGAGCTGCTTCCGTGTGTCCGGCGGGCAGCGGTGTCGCTGATGGGAGGCGTGTGTCCGCCTCTCCTCTCCTCTCCTCTCCTCTGCTGCGCTCCGGTCAGTTCCGACCTGCCTCCTTCACAACATCCCCTCCGACGGCACCGTCAGCCCGCAGGGAGCTGCGCATTCTCTCGGTCCGGGGCGAACGGAAGCGGTGAGCGGTGACGGTTCGGACAGGGGCGGACATCAGACCGTGTGGTGACGGCGACAGCAGCAGCGATGTCTCCGCCAGGAGCTCACTGCTTTATCATCCGACAGGGCCGCTCCCAGCGTCTGTGGGGCCCCGGGAGAATCATGGCCCCCTCACCGCCCCCCCCCCCCCCCCCCCCCCCCCCCCCTCCCTCTCCATTCTAACTCCCAGACACGACCTCCGGGTAAAGTCCGGAGAAAACCCCCGTTTACCGGTAATTAGTAATAATTACAACTTAA